TATATATATATATATATATATATATATATATATATATTGATTTCAGAGAGGAAGGGAGATGGAAAGAGAGATAGAAACATCAATGATGAGAGAGAATCATTGATCAGCTACCTCCTGCAAAACCAGGGACCCTTCAGTCCGCAGACTGGCACTCTATCCACTGAGCCAAACCGGCTAGGGCACATGTTCTTGTTGCACAGATAGCTTTAGTTTGGCCTGCACTCTTTTGAAATACTTTGAAATATTTTTCAAAGTTAGAAAATTGAGAAATTTTATGTAAATATCCACAATCCTGGCTTCTCCTATCAAAGTAAAACATGTGGACTCAAATTCCTACAGGCAACAGCCAGAATGGAGTGGTGCCTATGCCTCTAGACAGGACACTCTCACTCCTGTTGCCCTCACTCCCACCAATCCCTGAATTCTTATTCCCAGCTCACTTCCCTTATGAATCTGCATGGACCCTATAAGCATCAGAACTTGGGACCCTTGTTCTAGGAATTGCAGAACAAGACTGAGATTTAAAATTTCCCAGAGGGAAACCATGTGGCTCAGATAGAATCAGCAGCATTAGAAAAGTACCTAATAATTTAAAGGCAGCTACAATGCATTTGGACATCAAACAGTCTTCAGGGTTTATGACTCAGTACTTTGCCACCCATTGTGAGTTATAAATAAATATAAACCATGATTCCAATCTTAAAAATCTCATATCCCAGCTGAGGAAAAAAATAACTAGCATGAAAGAATTCAGGATTAACACAGAAGAGTTTATAATTAAATTGGTGATATAATCTCTTAAATGTCTATGAGTTTCAAAAAAAAGTTATATCAGTAAAAGCTTGGTCTTTCCTGGAATATTCCTTGAAGAGGTGGGATTTCACCCTGTACCTTGGTGAGCAAGTGCAATTATGGTAGTTGGAGAATATAGGGAATATTCTTGAGGTGAGACAGAAATGAACCAAGCAGGATACAGCAATATTGGTCATACTCAAGTGGAATATGGCTTAGGGGTGGGGTCTAGTGAGAAACTAATGGAAATTAGCAACTTGGTCAGATTATACCAGGCAGAGGAATTCATTTAAATAGTGTTTAAGGGCTTTGAGTTCTCACAATTTTTTAAATTTTCTTGTTTTCTTTTGGTTGGGTTGTTTGCTCAGGCAAAAGGTGACATGATGTAAAAAGTAAGAGGAATGGACCTTTCCTGATGGACTCTGAGAGCTCACTCTGTGAGATGCTTTGCATACATGAGCCTACGATCCTCATTAGCACCCTGGAAAGCAAGTGTTATTATCCACTGAAAAGATTAATAAACAGACTCAGAGGATAATTAATTTCCCAGGTGGCGCAGTTAGGAAATAGTAGAACATGTTTTTCAGACCCAAATGCCTGCCTTCCACATTATACCACAAGCTTGTCAATCCTTAATAGGGAGGCTGGATTTGAAAGAGCAGAGCCTAGAACAACCAAAACTAATTGAAGGCATTACAGGCATCCAAAACAAAGCAAGTAAAAAGTTGGGTAAAAATAAGAAAATTCAAAGGATCTTTGAGAAATATCCAGGCCATCTTCTTCTCCTTCTGTACTACAATAAAACCATTCCAGAGAGTGTGAGAATCAAACTGAGCCATCAAGGATCCAATACATAGTATAAATGGTGTAAATAAAAACGAGGCCATGTTTAGGTGGAAAGTTTACCCATAAAGGAATTCATTAATGGTAACTACTAAGTGTTTTGTTCACTTATGTCTTCCAAATATATTTGAGCACTTATTATGGGCCTTGGAGATACAAGCTATCAACATAGGCAAGTCCCTCCTCTTTTTAACTTATAGTCTAGGGGAGGAAGAGAGAGAGAGTAAAGAATGAATGAATGAAAGTGCAGGATAACTCATGCAGGGGTAAGTGTTATGATGGAAAGAAGAGGAGCTATGCTACCTCAGAGTTTCTCCAACTTAATGTGCATTTAACTCACCTGGGGATCTTGAACAAATAAGAAGGGATGGGGCCCAAGAGTCTGAATTTCTAGCAAGCTCCCAGGTGATGGAGATGCTGCTAGATGAGGGGCCATCCTTTGAGTATCCAGACATTGCATTGTTATTGGGGTTGGGACCACTGAAGCACTTTACCTACAGTTGTGGTTCCAGAGGTGGTTCCAGAATTTTGACAAGGTTCAAATACTTACAGAGAAATTCTGATTTTCCCATGTTGACTATTTTGAAGATTTAAAAACATATATATTGAATCTCAAATTCTTTTAAAAAATATTTGCCACCCCTACTAGTGCCCATTTCATAATACTCCACTGGAGGATGGGAAAGAGCCAGGCATGAGAATTCTATGTGCTAGACAGAAGAAATAGCAAGTACAAACACTTCTAGGCAAAAATGTCTTAAAAGAGAAAAGTATGTATGGCCCCACTTTAAAAAGCAAATAGAAGAGTGATTTTATAAGAGATGTAGGCAGGGGAGCTAGATCATGTTGGACTTCATAGGCTATCACAAAAAGCACAGATTTCATTCTATATGAAAAAAGAAACCATTGAAATATTTTAAGAAGAATAGTTTAATATCTCACATTTTAGGGGAAAAATCAAGTTTCTAAAGACACTGAATATGACAGAAATCAAAGGCAGGAGTGGGGAGACTGGTTAGGTGGCTGTGGTAGGTGCTCCAGTCAGAGTTGATGGTAGGATGTTAAAAATGGAGAGAGAACCTGCCAAGAATGGTGAAGGGTTTCTACCCATCTTGCCATCTAACAAGCTAGCCCGCCACAGTTTCAGGGATGCTGGGACAAAACGTAACTCCTGATTCACAAAGGACTTAT